TCGGCGTTGAAATTGGAACTGATTGAAACGCAATTTGATTTGCTTATATAGAAAACGCCGTTCTCCCTGGAGGCTCCCGAGTATTCTAGAATGTTCTCTAACAAACACGTCGTATTTCCCGGAAAGATTGCGTCACATCTGTCTTCGCTCTTTATCGCCGATTCTTCTTCTTTCATGGCGCCTCGGAATTTCTGGAATATTCGCTATAATGTTTCTTGATATAAATTCTACTGGTAATCGCACTATAAGAGCATCTAAAACAGTTTAGCCAACTACCACAAACGGAATTTTTAGAGAAATCATCTACACTTTGTTTTTTATCTGCATCATCGTTCGGAAGCAATTGTGATTGCCCCCGACAGGTCTGGCATTTTTTCCCAACGTTTTTCCAGTAGATTATTAGGCAATACTTCATTTTTAATATCAGGGAAATTATGTGCATTTAAAAAGGAAAGATCCATACAGAAATCTGTATACTTTGTGAAAATCTACCTTTAATCGATTCAATGGCTTGATTTTAAGAGTCTTAACATACAAATTCTCAATTTTCTTCCAATTTACTCATTTAAATATCCTTATTACTATTAGTTATTTTATTTTTAGAGCATATTTGCAAATTTGTGTCAACGGTAGTTTAGCTGGCTGGCAGCAAATGCGGGTCTGTAGAAAAACGCTTGGAGGAAGACAAGGAGTGCTACCGACGTCGTGTAATTAACAAGTTACTACATGATGCGGTTGGCGACATCTGGGAGCCATCCCGAAGCGTGTTGTACTAACGTGGCGATTTTTCCTTCTTCTTCTACAGTTTTGGTCCGATTGTGAGCACCTAAAAGTTTCTTAAGTGCTCGAATCGCGGTCTCTCTTTCTCGTGTCGCCAATAGAAGCTGGAGCTATGAGAAGTCCCCTAAAATTGAGTAGGTACTGTTTTGTGGAGGGTTTTTAGCAAGATCCACCAAAATACGAATTGCGGGTGAACGGGACGTCGGAGGTGGGCACCTACAAAGCGAATGTGGTAGCCTTCAACAAGATCTTATTGAGAGGACTTTGATAATATGTTATATGCACCGTCATCTTCGAATATTAATTAAAATAATTCCTTGCAATTAGTGGTGACGTAGCCTGGCTCTATATCTCTGTTTTGTGTTTTCATTTGAGTGATGCTGCCAGCCGCAAAGCGCTCATGGATCCTACCGGCCCACCGGGAAAGTTCCCGGTATCCCGCCGGCCCCATCCACCCCTGAGTTGCTGATTTCTGTCGAGTCACCTTTGGAATTTTTGTTTACATGGGAAACCGTTCCAAAGATGACTCGACAGCAACTCATTTATATATATATATATATATAAGCATTGAATTGAACCTTCACTCAACGATATAGGTAACTCATTCCATGTTGATATTTACAAATAAATCAATGGCTAGGAAATAACACAGAATATTACTTGTTTGCAACAGGCCCATTAGCTCAGTTGGTTAGAGCGTCGTGCTAATAACGCGAAGGTCGTGGGTTCGATCCCCCCATGGGCCAGATTTTTTTTTATAAATGAATATTTACATTAAAGTATATATTATGTATTACATACTATAATAAATTGTATCGCGATTTGATTTAATAGATTTTATTGGCATAATGTTAAATTTTTAAATAGAGAGAAACTTGTGCTATCGGATTAGATATGGCCAATCCGCTTCCTGTAGGTATTTATAATGAAAAATATTAATAGCCCCGACTCCCGAGCTCAATTCGTATTGACAAAAGAGGGTTCCAAATGTTATTTTTTGGTATTGTCGAAAGACGCAATTGTGTCCTGATGTGATGCTGAAATTTTGTTTGCTATCATTCCTTAATCTGGAGAAAATGAAGAGCCCATTACGAAATGTTGTAATATGCTATAATATTCAATGAACGGATAATAATACAATATACCAGACTAAAAGTGCATTATAATAGAATTGGCCGATTTGGACGTTGCAGTTCAAACTTTATTTATTAACTGTTACATACTTGAGAACAATAATATTACACTATGGCTGCCGCAGATAAAATTTCAGCAAGTACGGAGATTATAGGCCCATTAGCTCAGTTGGTTAGAGCGTCGTGCTAATAACGCGAAGGTCGTGGGTTCGATCCCCCCATGGGCCAATCGCTTTTTGACCCACCAAATTCCCCAACGTCTGCGACAAGAGCAACTCAAGAAGTCCCTGAAAGTACAGGCCCATTAGCTCAGTTGGTTAGAGCGTCGTGCTAATAACGCGAAGGTCGTGGGTTCGATCCCCCCATGGGCCAATCGCTTTTTGGCCCACCAAATTCGCCCAACATCTGCGGCAAGGCATCTCAAAAAGTCCTTGAGAGTGTAGGCCCATTAGCTCAGTTGGTTAGAGCGTCGTGCTAATAACGCGAAGGTCGTGGGTTCGATCCCCCCATGGCTAATCGCTTTTTGACCCACTAAATTCCACAACATCTGCGGCAAGGGCATCTCAAAAAGTCCTTGAGAGTGTAGGCCCATTAGCTCAGTTGGTTAGAGCGTCGTGCTAATAACGCGAAGGTCGTGGGTTCGATCCCCCCATGGCCAATCGCTTTTTGACCCACTAAATTCCACAACATCTGCGGCAAGGGCATCTCAAAAAGTCACTTGGGAGTGTAGGACCATTAGCTCAGTTGGTTAGAACGTCGTTTCAAATTTTAGCGGGTTGCGGTTAGCTTTTGGAGGAAGTAGACATTCTGGTGGCCATTTTAAACGTTGCCAGTTTGAGTTTATATTATTATTGTAGTGTGAAGTTCACGTAGAACTTGGGAGTTAAATACCCCACAAAATGTATTCTATTGTGAGATATTCTTTTGTAATTTTCATGATAGTTATTGCTTTTTACCAAGAGTAAACAGTTTGTATCAAACACACGCCAGTATGGAATTTGCATAATCTCTTTAAATATACAGGGTGAGTTTTTTTCATTTTAAGCATTAGGATCTCGGAAACCGTAAGACATACAGATTCGGTTAAATGAGGAAAGAGTTGTAGTTTTAAGTGCTTATTCAAGATATGCTTTTGTTTTTTTACAAAAATCCACAGATTACTAGATGTGAGCGAAAAACAGATTTAGTGATTTTTCATTTAACTGTTGTAGAATCGTTAGTATTAGAAATACAGAAATATGCAAAGAACAAAAATTGTAAATTTTTTCCACTTAGGTAATAAGGTACATTTATTAATATTTATTCTTCTTTTATAATTTTCAAGTGATAACGTAAACTTACATCTCACTAGATATTGTTTTCCATGGCCAACTCTGTTTACTTACCTCTCAATAATACGAAAATTACTGCAGGGCGTTTATTTATTAAAGTACATTTGACAAGCCTTATATCGTTATAAAGAGAAAAATTTGTCCTTTTTAAAAATGTCAAAGCCAACTATGACTACCATTTAAAAAATTTAAAGTTTGTATTATAACTCAAAAATTGTAAGATCTAAAAATATATTAGTATGTTCATCATGTTAAGCATTAAAATGTCTAAAACTTTTATTCGTGTCATTTTGTTGTATTTCTAATAATAACGATTCTACAACAATTAAATGAAAAATCACTAAATCTGTTTTTCGCTCTAATCTAGTGAACTGTGCATTTTTTCAAAAAACAAAAGCATATCTTAAATAAGCTCTTAAAACGACAACTCTTTCCTCATTTAACCGAATGGTTTCCGAGATCCCAATGCTTAAAATGAAAAAAAAACTCACCCTGTATATCAGTATCAGTTTGAGCTAGTATTTTTCCAAAATTTGATTACAAAGTTTTGACTATTAATGAGATTATCATTCAGTAGACAAAAAATTAATTCCTTCATGTTCTTAATCCATTTTTACCTGAGCTAGCCTGGGAAGTAAGTACGAAAGGTAGGTCCTAACGTCGGTACACACACAGCCAGAAAAATTTAAACATTTATAAGCAAACAGTTCAACAAATTTTAACTGAAGATTTTAACATGAAAAAGTGTGAGCGAAACGGTGTGATACTTGACATGGCATGGCTTTTTCAATATGACCCCGAATTCAACGCCGGTTGATGCACTGGAAAACTTTTCATAGCGTCAAACTGGGAAGTTTTGAAAACCCAAAGCGAGAAAGTTTGAAAGAAGAGGCCAAAAAGGCAATGGTTTCTGCAGGGGTTTCTGTAAAAGCTTAACAGAAACGGCTGCTTCCAACAATGGAAAATGATTCATAATTTTTACAAAAAAAAACCGTTTTACACGTTTCTGTTATTTAATAGCCAAACTTTGTATGTATGGGGGTGTTATTTTATTCACAAATGCGTTGTGCACCCAATAGGTGGCTCTAATTTAAAAATGCAAGGAATATTTTCCTTTCTTCCGTTTATTTAATCTCGCGGCGCTTTGTAGTAGTTTCACCATGTGGTTTATTTCGCCCGTAAATTCTGTACATCCCTTAATTATCGCCCTGCTAGCTTTGTATACAACTTAATGAAGGATAACGAGGGAATAAATAATATTACTCCCAAATTCGTAATTTTTCTCCGTCAATGTTACGAGTAGAGCGAAGTTCGCGATTTTATAAATCCGATAACGCCCATACGACAAATCCACTAATACAAATTTCCTCAACAGCTAAAATAAAATCTCATAAATTCCTGGACTAAGAGTGGCGGTTCCTGGGAAAACGGATTCCTACGAGTGCGGCAGGAAATTCGAGAGCTGGCACGGGAAAGAGTGAGGCGCGGGCGGTTTCCTGCCGCCGGGGCTAATACAAACTCCTACAGGGACGCTTCCGTCACTCTCACAGCTCATATCCTTTCTGCCAACTTCCATTTAGCGTTCGCCTGTAAATGTTTTGTATTGTTTCGCGTTTCAATACAAATTGTCATTTCTCGCCCAAGAATCGATAAGTCATACGCATTCCGCACCCGCGCGCGTGCGATATGAAATGTGACGGATACGCGTCGACGGATTACGAATTTCCAGCAATTCACGATGAACGTACTAAACTAACTACTCACCTTGCGTTGGTGCGGCAGCGTGAGTGCTCCATGATCCCTTGTAGGAAGTATCTGAAACAAAGATATGCTTTTAACAACTCTGTAAACATAAATTTCATTCATTTAAGACATCGGTTTTTGTAAACTACAGCTTTAGTTAAATATGATGAATGAAGACTTAGCAATCCATGCGACCATCAGAGACATTGGAAATAACGTCATATGTAACACAAATAACCCTTATTTACTCGGGATCACTTGCTCGACTCGTTCGCAAGTTCGCTCGTGTAGCAAAAGTAAACTTTCTGAATAATACGCCTCATAACATGCTCGTAATCCTATTAAAGGAGATATGCGAGAATTTTAGATTGGAATTATCAAAACAATTGCGCACTATTAAGTAAGTACCGTCTCGACAGTATCCGCGACTTTTCCTTAACCTACCGAATACGACCGAGTACGGTACAATCATCACGTGATGCGACACCGCTGTCTTTTCTGCCTGAACGAAACTGGTAACTGCATACCCATATACAAAATATCATTTTTGTAGTCCCTGTACTTTATTCCCTCAAGAGGAGTAGTAAGGCAGTACTTTTGCTCCATATGCACTAAAGATTATAGCACACGATTGGTTAATCCTTGTAAATCTCAGGGTGAGGGTTAAAAGCAATTGGAGCATTCAATTTGACAACTGAAGGTATTACCATAGTCCTCATACAGGGTGTCTTCATAAAATCGGAATCTTTACAGCAATCCGTTTTTTTAACATTAAAAAAAGCCAGATTTTCTACAATGTGGTTGGTGACACACTAGATCTTGGTTCCTTACATCCATGGACCCACAAAGAGAAGTGCCAGGGGTACCATTGCACTTACCCGGACGTCCAAACTTTGGTTTTTGAAGAAAAGAGGATTAAGAGAAAGTTACAACTATACAGGGTGTCTTAAATTGAATATAGGATAACATTGCTCTATTTGTTATTATTATACTCACAGACAGACTTACGAAACAATTTATTTTTTTATAAATTTAAAACCTGTAACATTTTATCAAAAATTTTTTGCGAGTTTAAAGTTTTACCTGGTCAGCTCTTGATAAAAATTGTTATCGGACAATAATTAATTGGTTTTTTGACAAACAATGTCACGTGCGAGATAAGCGATGCAGGTGTTTTTATCAATTTTTGCGGTGTGGATGGAATTTCGAGTGTCGTCGCGAATAATGATGTCAGATTGTTTTCATTTCTTCTTATCCGAATGTTATTTCGGATTCTATTGAAAATGTGAGTAGTGATTTCTTTGAAATTTGCGGAATTTGATTGAGTCCATCGAGTCTTTCGAGTTTCTAAGGGTTTTAAATCAATATTGATTTTCTTGTTGTATCCGAACCCAGTTTTGGCCTTAGGGAAAATTTAACAAGGAAAAAAACTAAATTGTGTAATTTGAGCTAGCTAGGTAAGTGTCTGTTGGATGTTCTAGTAACCGCAGAAGTACGCAACTCTTACTGTTATATGGTATGTCCATATATGTAATTGTAGCGTCCTGTCCACAGGCCGTAAAAGAAAATCGTGAGAAAACATGTCTCAGGGTATAGCAACAGCCCGAGCATGCAAAGTTGAAACTCTAAATATTCCCCTGGGCATAACAAGAACAACAGTCCGTTAGTTTTATTTCTGTAGCAAAGCATTTCTGTGTAAACTACCCCATAATGCGAACGTTTTATTTGCTTTCAGCACTTTCAGTGTATGTGTCGAATTTCAATTATTTTTAACTTGAAATGTGGAGATTGAATACAATCTCAATCATATCATTTGAATGTGAGGTCATTGTTGAATTTATTTAGAATTATTTATTTAATGATGTGTAATTTTGTTTAAATAATCGCCTTCTAATTTGTTTAATTTATAATTAACTGACATTAATAAGTATGAATGGGCAAGCTAAGTCGCCCCTTAACCGCAAGGACAGATAAAGTGAAACAGATGATTGTGCATTCTAATGACATCTGTCATTCTTATTTCAAATGGGCCGCGACGCACGGTATAAAATGACGTTCCGAACATATGACAGTGCTGTTTCTATGGGAACGATCGCGACAGCAGGACTTAAGCTTGGTACTCTTGACTTATATAATAAATAACTATAATTTTGGTTGGTTTTTGTGCGTTCTGTTTGTTGAAAATCGCAGTTACGACCGGATAACACGTTAAGGTAATGAAGATTTCTTTAATTAATTTGTGAAATCGATCGCTTGTGCGTGGTACTTTATTTATAAGCCCTTTGTGCTTCGCTTTCTTTCCTGATAATCAACGACGCTACTGATGTAAGAGGAACAATTTACATTAAATCTTGAGCAATATCGAGCGTTCCTTCTTTTTACAACCGATTTGGAGCAAATTTATACTGTATACGCGTCTAATGTCTTCTTTAAAATGCCCGATCGGTCAACGGTTCCGAAGACATGACTTTTTTTTAAAACACACCTATTCACCTTTAAATTGTTTTCAACAAAACTATTAACAATATCAAAAATCCAAAACAAACCGCACTAATCGGAATACATTTTTGACCGAATGACGTTTGGTCGGTTCAAATCAAATTTATCAGCTTAAAATATGATTTTTTTGCGATAACCCAAAAACGACGAGGCCTACTTAGATCAAAATTAATGTCCTATTTAAAATGACCGAATATGGGCCGGATCAATCAACTGGTTCCCGAGATATTAATTTTTTATGTTTCGGAAACCTCTATATTTTGAGAGGAAATTAAAAAAACATTTTTATTGTTTACAATTTTGAACGGCCTACTAATTACCGAGAGGCATTGAAAATCAAAAATCACTGAACTATTAGAAACTAGCAGTCGCGGCGAACCTCGTACCGCCTTTGGGAAGTCCAACTTCGGGAAGTTCTTTCGAAATATCAAGTATATTTTTGACTGTAAAATAGAATAGCCTGTTTTTGCTGTTTCCGTTCGCGTGGGAGTTTCGGAAAGTGTTGTACTAACTCAGAAACTTTCGCGGGCATACGTCCAACCATTCCATGAAGTGTCATCGGAATCGAATGAACGGCTTAGACAGTCATAAGAGACGTACAGACAAACACTCGTTTTTGCTTATATGGATAATAGCACACCCGATGAACGTTGCATCGCCTATCCCTGCGAACTTCTTATATATGACATTGCCTAACATTTCCATATAACACCATTCAGTGTCCACATTTTAAATCCTTTTAGGTTTTGTGAGTTAAGAGATGCCGCTTCAGGACATGGTGTTGCTGTTTTGTAAAATCACATTGTGCACATTTTAAATATTTGACATACCTACTTAAATTTCTGGTATCGGCATATAAGAAGTCTACAGCACATATGACTAATTTAGAGTCTGCAAGAGAAGCCAACTGGCACCGTGGCGCACTAATATGTGCAATTAATAGAATATGAATAATGGGGGGTGCATGATCTTCTTACGCGTCGGGTGCAGTAGTTCGTTGTATAATGGCACTGTGCACATTTTAAATCCTTTGAAGACTTGGTCCTTGAGAGTTGTAATTTCAGGATATGTTAAAGATTGTTGCAAAATTGCCATGTGTACACTTTAAATGTTTTGAAGTATTGCGTATTTTTAAGCGGCAATTAGTCATTAGTTCTCGTATTTACTTGTAGTCTGGAAACGGTCTATTATCGGGGCAAATATACAAGGTATCAAAAAAAGTTTTATACAAAAGATTTGAGGTTATTTAATGTCTATTAGGCAGAAATTCGAAACGAGACCAAGGTTCAGTCTCCTTTCGACTAACCATCAGTCTCGGTGAGAGTCTCGATGAGACTCTGTCGTGACTCTCGTTTAATCTCGAAGTTTTTTTTGTAATTTATTTGTACTGTTTTTTTTAAATTTTAATCAAGAAAATCCATTGAAGTAGCACGAATTCCAATTGTTTACATAAACCGTTCTTGACCTTACTGATTTAGGACTTAAGGTCTTACAACTGTAATTTTTCTTAAATCCAGGAAGCCTTTCGACATCAGCTTTATTTTAATTTATTGGCGGACAATTGATTTATTAAACCTGTACCCTCATCAATAGCAATAGCAATACCTGCTTACTCAAATAATGGTAATTGTCTATGCGGGAAAAACAAGATTTGGTTATAATACTTAATAGGATCTCGCGGATTCCTAAAACCCCTCTATCATTGTATTTTCACAAGTTTATGGCATTAAATCCAATCATTTCTAGGTATAGGTATGTACAGTGACTGAATTAGTACAGTGGATATAACCGGGTATATCTTTTTTTATTGGTGGTTCGTTCTGGTCGCCATATTGGGGCTAAAATGCTATAGGTACTTTAGTATGAGTTTACACTTTTCTTTGTGTTCTTGCGAAATTCTGTAAATAAAAGCGCTGCTGAAGGTAAGATGTATATTGTGAACATATGACATATCCAAATTACTGTAGGTATAGGTTACTTAGGTACATATTTAGCGCGTAGTTAAGACCATGAAAGTAAGATTTTACAAATTTAGCAGATAGATAAGGAATGGGTCATTATTATTATTGTCATGCCTTCTTGGTGCCTTTTATATGCTCTACATCATTTTTGGATAGTATGACGAGACTGAACAAGGGCGAGACCAGACTTAGAGGTCACGAGACGAAACCTGAAAGTAGCGAAGCGAAGCGGAGAAGAGAGCTGGATGGAGTTTTAATGTTCGGATGGGGCCGGACCGGTAAAGCGGAATTTGGAGGCAAAGCAGCGCTTGAGAAAATTTGTTAACAAAATACGATTGGGTGGTTATGGACGTCAAAACGTACTGCCTGGCAGTTTTCTATTAAATTCCTGGGCAGGAATTCTATACATTGGTTGACCGGAAGAGTGTCCCGACTCCCGGCAGAATGCAAAATCAAAAACAAGCCAAAATTCCCCAAAAAAGGTCCATGTCTGACAAGCAATCTGCAGTTGTGGACTGAAAAGTGAAACTTTCGCTACTTCTGGGACCATGAACCAGCAAATGTACCTACCAGAAGTGCTTACGGAACTGCGGCATCAGGTGGATTACCCAT